TCTGAGAGAAACTCAACAAGTGCAATCATTTCGAGCAGCGCAATGATTTCAATCCATGTGAGACGGCCCAAGATCGGAGCAGAACATAAAGCTGCTAGCCTACAAGATGCCACAGTCAAGTCGTCAGTAATCTCCGCGCCCTTGTCAATACTGATCGCTCTGCTAAAGTTGACAGCGCAGTGCAGTGGCGCCGGTTGTTGCCAATTTCTTTATGCAATGCTTGTACTCGGGGTGGTCACTGTCGCTTGTCTTTTAGGAGGATGGACCACGCTCATGCTGGGTCTTGACATGCTGAAAAACGGAAGCAAAATTTTCAACGCACTTAATCAGTCGAGCTTCTTCGGGGTGACGTTCTTTCTGATGTGGTTTACAATGATGGTAACGTTTTTCTGTGGACGTCGCCGCACGGGGGTTTTGCTGGAAGAGTCCCTGGAAATATTGCAAGACATCAGCATCTGTCCTTCTTTCGCAGAACAGCGCACTAAGAACGGCCGCCGCATGCTTTGCCTGCTAATTTACGTTGTCTTGATATTAGCTATTGGCCTGGTCAGCTACATCATGATTGCTTCTGAATATTCAAAATTCCTTCCTATCAAAGAATACGCTTCTATTGCCACAATTCTTCTTATTACAATTAGCAGCGTGGTGTTTGCCTCTTTAGTGATGATCGCGATTAAATTCGCGTTATTTTGCAGTCTCTTTGTATGTGGCATAGAGACTGTCAACTCTGAGCTCAAAACCTTGGCCGAAGATGATGGCCCTGTGAGCTGGAGTGCCCTGAGGCGCCTGAGGCTGATGCAGGCCCGGCTGAGCCGCGGATTCTCCCGGGTCACCCAGCAGCTCCGACCTGAGCTGATTTCCATAATCTTCTACGGCACACTGGCCCAAGTGATGACCATCTTCCAGCTGATCGGTGCCGCCCAGCAGGACCAGAACATCTCCATCTGGGGCGCGAACCTCTTCCTTCTACCGGCTCTGGTCTTCACACTGCTCCCGAGCTGGTCGTGCCAGAGTGCTGGACGCCGCCGAGGGGACCCGCGCCGCCCTGCTGACCCTAGAGCCGCAGGACGCACCCGCCGACCGTCAGCTAGCTGCTCTACTAGCTGCCGCGCGGCGTGACCTGGAGACGTTCGGCGACCTGGGCTTCTTCCGACTGCAGCTGTCGGTGATCCTGGGCACCACGTCCACCGTGCTCACCTACATCATCATCATGGTGCAGTTCCAGATGTCGGAGAATGGCTGCGGCGACTCGCGGGGTCACCAGGGCAATGCCACAGCCTCAGCCTGAGGGGACTGGGGGGTGGAGCGTCGCCACAGTTCATAGTTACATCGTCAAGTATTCTCGCAACATAAGGTACCTACAGAATACCCTGACAGCGATACGTCTATTCTAAGCACGGAAGAGAAGTGACGTATTCGTTATTTATGATTTTTTAATGGAAATGCAACTGTGCACGTCAGTCGCGCAAGGTGACGAATGACGATACTATACATAGATGTCGTATTGAAAAATGTATTTATCTGATGGACAAATATCCTTGATTATATAGTTGTTACAACTTTGTGATGCATCTGATAAGCTCGCTTAAGTGCTGCCTTGCACTTGACTTTTTTGTATGTACACTAGTTATGTGTCATGTCCACGGCCTTTGGCTTGTGTGGACATATATACTTGTCTGAGCTTTACATATAGATAACCTTACGATCAAGGATCGGCACAGTCTACACAACCCCTTGAATCAGTATTGGTGAGCAAATATCACTTTTGAGAACGCTAATCACGTGTTTGAATTATAGACTACATGTATGTTCGGATGTTTCCGGTCGACAAGTCGTGCCTAAATCGGTCTATATCGGTCTCCCACCTATCATGGAACATGTTGTTCGACGATGTAGGTACAGATGTCAAGGTCAGGGTCAAGGTCAACCTAGGTCATCTAAAATCATTGTGTTTAAGGCAAGCTTAATTTACTTTTCGTGAAGTTTCTTTGGCTGCATTTTGGGTAAAACCTTCTCATTTCATGATCTCATGTAATATGGACACATACACAATCGGTGCACACATCAGTATACACACAGACATATACAAACACACACAGACGACATACAAACACATATCATTGACCTTGACCTAACTTGACCTGAAATGACCTCAGCAGCAAAAACCTTGTCGGATAGTGTGACAAAGAGGTTCTACATAGCTGGCTTGGCACCACAAAACGGCATCGTCATCGGTATATGATGAGCAGCTCACTTGATATCCAACGGTGACCCAAAACAGCAACATGTTTTAGTTTGACCTGACCTGGAAGGTCAATGTCTGACCTGAGAAGGTAAAACTGGGTATGTACCTATCATTGGATTGGTATCTTCCCAAAGAATCTTTTTGGTCTTTACCGCGAAGCTCTATCTCCAACAGGAACGAAATGGCGCGGGGGGGTGACAACCACCCACCCCCATGTGCGTTCCAGGATGGGAAAATGGCATGCGCGGGCGAGGATTAAGTTCTCAAGACTCCTTCATACCAAATAACAACCTCACTATGATTATGGCTCTCGATGCATCATCCGCTAAAGCTAAGGATGCCCGTCTGGCGTCTTACCCTACCCTTCCCTACATACTAGCACAGGTCGCGCAATGCCCCGAAACTGGCATCGTCTTTCCTAACGGTGACCGGCTACCGCTAAATCAGCTTCATCGGGGTGGCACCGCCACCATTAGCCGTTTTCACGACGGGCTATCCGGCGAATGCACCTGATTTGACCAAATCTGCACATAATTTCTTTTACAGCAAATATCTTCATTTTATGAATTTATTTCAATGTTTTAATCGATGATGACAAAGCAGGCTTATATAAAGCAATTAGTGCAACCCTAGCTCATATCTGCTAAGAGACACACTGAACCTGATTTGACCAGATCTGCACCTAATCTGTATCAGACGTGCACCAAATGTGTACCAGATGGCCGTCGTGAAAGGGCTATTGTCCCTTAGTCCTATTCCTTTTACACCTGACAAGGGGCCCCGACACCTAACGCAGCTGACGTGACCTGAACGTTTGGCCGGGGCCGGTTCAGACGCGTGGCCCCACAGAGGTGACATTTCTATTCTGGGACGAACCGAGGGGCCACGCGACCCTTTCGACTGAGCAAACACTGGCGTAAGCAGCGGGCCATGGATTTCCATAACATTGCGCTCGTGATGCATGGCGAGGCAAGAGGCAGAACTGCACGGTGCAAAAAACAGGTGTCTACAAGCTGGGGCGCCGCACAGAGCCGCAATGTAAAGCCAAAATGATAAACTGTAGGTGTGAAAACGATGTTATGGTATGCAACCTCTTTCATCTTTTATGTTAAGCTTACGATAAGTAAAAGTAGGCAGGCCTATGCCTATTTCACGATATGTCATAGCGCCAAAGTTGAAGCATATGCTTCATCCATTTTTCATATTACCAGACTGGCCTCTTGTTTTGCCGATTTGCGTCACTAAGGTACGACGACCCCTCTGCGTTCTTTTTTTTTGCATTTTATTTCAAACTCGACAAAGTCCAAAGGCTACAGCTGTCATGTCCTGGCTGCCAAAAGCTATACTTCAAGATCACATCGAATATCGATGCGCAAGTATAATCAGCCGAATAGCAAAGCTGCCATGTTATGTAGGCACCTGAGCCCCATCCGTGGAAATTGAATCAGGGTTCTGCTTATTATTTATCTTCCAGCACGAAGGCTATTCCTAGACCACGATATTGCTCAGTGAGATTATGCAGCGGTTCCCCTTCACAAAAAGGTACCGTGGTCAGAGCGGAACATTCTGACTGTAAGTAGTAAGAAGTACCAATTCCCCACAAGCGGCGGAACGGGGAGGGCCCGGGGCGCACGATTTTGGCATTTTAACACTCGCTCTGCGCCAACTTCGTACCGCGGTGGATGACCGCCCCCCCCCCCCCCCCCCCCTGAGATCTCGAGAACGAAGCAAGATAGCGACAAGCGGTAAACGGCATCGGATACGCACGGACAAGGTCTACAATTTTTACTAAGGTCATTTTCAGGTCAGGTCAAAGATGACGTCACAGGGGTCAAAAAAGTCAAAATGGCGGCGCTAGATATGGATAGTTTTTTTCTCGAATAACTTTCGAATTAGTCAAGATAGGAACAAACTAAGGGCATCATCGTGATCCTCTTGTCAATCCGCATCGAATGATAAATATGTTGACCTCGAAAGGTCAAGGTCAAAGGTTGACCTCAGGTCACGTGACCTCGAGGTCGTCATGTATATAATTCGATGCGTCTTGACCAGCTGAACACAATGATATCATCCGCGCGGCTGTATCTTGTTCCTGTACGGAGTTATTGGCAAAAAAAATGGTGACCCTTGATGACGTCACATGACCTTACAGCTGCCCAACAGCAAAACTGACCTCAAGGTAGTGAAGGTTGATCGTATATGAAGTCATGCATGGTATATGGGGCCATTCCGACCCATTTTAGTGGTAAAAACAGGGAGTTGATTTTTCCCTCATTGATTTATAATGGGGAGGTCGCGAAATTGACCTGACCTTAGGTCACTGATATCAAAATTCCGAGATAAACAAATTGTAGCTACTAATGACCTTATAACATCCTGCGACTTTCAAAGGCCTCCGACATCTACTGTAGCTCTGGCACGGTGACAAAGTTGCAAAGAAGTGACTTGAGGTTGGGTCATTCAAAGTGACCTGGTGACCTGACCTTAAAAGTTAGGAGGTTCAAACTTGCACACCATGTATAAAATTGATGGGAGAATAGTCGTACCAAATTTTGCGGCGCTACGCGCCGCGGTTTTCCCGCTATTTGCGAGAAACCTCAGGGAGGCGGATATCCGCCCCCCCCCCCCGTCGGTGTGCGTGTTAACATGGGCGTTGCATGGAAAGAATGGGACCAAAAGTCGGCAATGTCCCCCCTTAATTGAAGGTGTTCCGCCGCTACTGCAGTACCTGTCCCCTTGTAAATGATTTAAAACATTGTCCGATGTAGGTATATCAAATTTATTTATTTATTTTATACGAGTGCTTTATCACACAAAAAGTTCGCAAAACATGCATACCGAACACTGTTAGAAACTTCACAATAGCACTCTACATTCCCTACAAGATGTAAATAGTTACCACCAATCACCTAACGCAACAGTAAGACAATAAAAAGGAACATCAGTATACGCTTTTGCTGGATACATGACACGGATAAAATAAATAAAATATATTACTGACAATAAATAATTAACGAATTAACAGCAACAATACCTAAATAAATAAACAGCGGAATATTACGATCCAATCGGAACACGATCTTCATTTTTCAGTACTCTAATTTTGTCCAATATCCTATTCTGAATTAGCCTGGGCCAGGCCAGCTACCTTTGGACAAAATCGGAAGAATACAATCATGACACTAAAACACTGTATTTAGAACTCGCTTTCGACATAACCCTCGCTCGGATAGGAAGAGGTGCGCCATTATTTCCCATTTCTAGGTTTCGGTTATTTTTCAGACAAATCAATGCTTTGGACAAATTTCGGTCAAACCTGGACAAGGCCTGTTGTTTCCAAAACAACAAATTGAATATTTACGGATGAGGCGTCCATGATGTATTTGCTTGGCACATCAGAAGTGTTGCCTGGCTGTCAGCGCGTTAAGAAATGCGCGAGAATCGATTTTTGTTTTTACTGAATGTGTGATTGATCTGAGGGAATTCTAAAACTAACTTTGTTTTAATTTTGGCCTATAATTTATTATCATGAAATACAACGACCTTTTAATGTGTAAAGCTTGATTTTCTCGTTAAGGCCGGCAAAACAGCAGAAGTGTTGATTGACATCAACATTTAATGGTCCTCCGGGCCGGATGCTTGTAACGGGATTATCCGTAAAAGCTTAATTATTGTAGCGGTCGCTGTAAACGATTGTTTTATGAATTGTAATTGATTTAAGTGGTACTATGCGTGGGCCTGATGGAGCCGAATCACTCAAAACAAGGAGCGAGGCATCGTCAGAGAAAACAACCTCCTCCAAGAGAAGTGGAGCCTGGAGACGAGCTCAGCTCTCGAAGCTGCGGGCTGAGCAGGCCCAAAAGGCTGCAGACGCGGCGATAAAGCGGGCCCAGAGGAATGCTGAGGCCCAAATGGAAGAGGCCAGAGAAGAAGCTCAGCGAGCAGCCGACCAGGCCGAGGTGGACGCACTCGAGCTAAAACTACTTGAAGAAGATGAGGAAATTGAAGACCGAGCTGGCAGTATAGCGAGCAAGCGCAAATCCCGACTTGGAGCGGCGGCCAGACATGCGGTGAGGCACCAGTGTGGGCAGCCAGAGCTGAATACAGGCGAAGAAGACTCTCAGAGACGGACGAGAGGATGGGTTCAAAACTTACCGTCCGACGGCGCCGGCAGTGGCATTACACGAGAGTGCTCGGCGTTACCGAAGGTGACGCTGGAGAAATTCAGCGGGGCGCCATTAGAATGGCCAAGATGGAGCGCTATGTTCCGAACACTCGTGCACGAGAGCCGGTCGCTGACGGACACCGAGCGAATGGTTCATTTGCAGTCGTGTTTGACTGGCGATGCTCGTGAAGCAGTGCGAGGGCTGCTATGTGACGGCAGCCTCTACCAAGAGGCCATGAACGAGCTGGAACTACAATTTGGAGACCCTTCCAGCGTAGTCGGCAGTACCCTGTCGAGTGTTCTTCAGCACCCAGCTGTGAAACAAAATGACTTGAGCGCTCTGACAAGCCTATCACGAGCGCTACACGCTGCTGTGAGCGTCCTCTCTTCACTTCACTTCCAGGGTGATCTGACCGCCACGACGAACCTCAGACAAGTTGTTTCAAAACTACCAGCCTCTCTCGCTTGGCAGTGGGGTCAGAGAGAGGTAGAGCTGTTGCCGCGTTTTCCGACGCTGGCCGACCTAGACCAGTGGCTGAAGGGAATTGTGTTGGCTGGTCGCCGCGCCCTGCCAGGTCTGGTCCAACATGAGACTGGAACAGCTCCGGTAACGCAGTCAAGAGGCAACAGAAGGTCGTCACCATCCCGGGTGCAGCAGCGTCAGAAGCCACCGGCTGGGTCGTGGCGCACTACGTTGGCTACAGCGACCGGGACCGAGCAGTGCAGTGTGTGCAAGGCGGAGTGGCACGAGCTGAGTGCCTGTCCGACTCTGCTAGCAGCGCCGCCTGAGGAGCGCCTCCGGCTGGTACGGGACTGCCGGCGGTGTTTCCGCTGCCTCAGTGATGCTCACTGGGCTAGGAAGTGTCCTAGAAAGACAGTGTGTGGGCAAAATGGATGTAAGGGCAAGCACCATCACCTGCTTCACATCACGGCACCGACTCAGATATGTGTGAGACCATCAACTGGCGCGGAGGCAGACAATCCGAGGCGCGTGCTATCCACCGCGGCTGGTCAGTTGCCTACCAGAACGAATGCAACACTCCTGCAAGTTGTTCCTGTGAGAATTCATGGAGATGGAGGATCGTACCGTGACACCCACGCCTTGTTAGATCCTGGCGCAGACACGTCCCTCTGCACGGAACAAGTAGTCCGGGATCTGTCCATTACCGGCTCGGCCGAACGGCTGCGACTCAGCAATGTTGAAAGTTCAGGTCCGAGCAAACCGTCCTTGAAGGTGAGTCTGCAGTTGTCTCCACTGTCCCCAGGCGGCGAGACTGAGATCGTGACGGTGGCGGAGGCGTTCACGGTGCCGCAGCTTAACGTCCGCCCCACGACAGTCGACTGGAGCCAGCGCGAGAAATGGAGCCATCTGTCCGACATAGAACTGCCAGACACAAATCACCAGACGGTGGAGCTGCTGCTCGGCGCGAACGTCATGGAAGCTGTCGTGCAAAAAGAAGCCAGGATTGGAAAACCGGGGCAGCCAGTGGCGATCAAGACACATTTCGGTTGGTGTCTGACAGGAAAGGTCACAAGCTTGGTCCCTGTGGGAGCGAGAGAGATCATGCACATGGTCAGAGACCGCTCTGCTGATGACGAGTTAACGGAGCTAATGCAAGAATGGTGGACTACAGATGCATTCGGTACCACCCACGCCATGACCCAGCCACACTCGTACGAAGATCGGCTAGCCGAGCGACAGATGGAGCATTCAACTCGATGGCGCGGGGACCGTTATGAAACGGGTCTCCTGTGGCGATCCCAGGACGTAAGGCTACCTGACAACTATCAGATGGCTGTGCGGCGGCTAGAAGCCACAGAAAGAGCGCTGAAACGAGCACCGGACAAGGCTGACGCCTATCGACAGACAATGAAGGACTACATGTCAAACGGATATGCAAGAAAGGTCGAAGACGACTGTGAGAATCAGGACGGCAAACAGTGGTTTTTACCACATCATGCCGTCACGAATCCCACGAAGCCTGGGAAGTTCAGAATCGTTTTTGATGCCGCGGCTAAATATGCAGGCGTGTCATTAAACGAGCAGCTGTTGACGGGCCCAGACCTGCTCAAGACGGTTCCCGGGGTGCTACTTCGATTCCGTCAGGAAGCCGTAGCTGTGACTGCTGACATCGAGAAGATGTTTCTTCAGATAGCTGTGAAAAGGGAAGATCAGTTATCACTTCGATTCTTGTGGCGTGACATGGATTCCGGAAAGCCGCCAGAGATCTATCAGATGGATAGAGTCATTTTCGGTGCACGGTCGTCACCGGCTTCTGCGAGCTTTGTGCTACACCGCACCGCTGAAGAAAAGGGGGATGCAACAGCAGCTGGACGTGCAGCGACAGCCACGGTCAAAAACAACTTCTACATGGACGATTTAGCCACGTCAGAGAAAAACAGTGACACCGCTCTACAAACGGCGAGAGAGGTCACAGAACTTCTAGCCAGAGGTAGTTTTCGTCTCAGAAAGTGGCTAAGCAACAGCAAAGATGTGCTATCTTCGATCCCAATCACTGAGCGCGTACCAAGTGCAGCCGACCTGAGCGTCCAGCTACCCTCGGAGAAGGTGTTGGGCGTGACGTGGGACGCGCAGACTGATGAGCTACATGTGACTGTACCCACACCTGCAGTAGAGAAGGCGACAAAGCGAGAAATACTGCGTGTCGTGGCTTCCATTTTCGATCCGCTCGGACTGGTTTCGCCGTTTGTGCTCATTGCCAAGCTGCTGCTACAGGATCTGTGGTCAAGCCAACTGGGCTGGGACGCCGTTCTTGCCGATGAGGAGTCACGCCAGTGGTTATTGTGGCTGGCTGACCTACCGAGAGTCGCTGATGTGAGAGTCTCACGCTGGTATGGAGCTCAGAACGCAGCGGTCTCGCTGAGACAGCTTCATATTTTCTGTGATGCCTCGGAGAGGGCATTTGGTGCCGTCGCTTACCTCCGCGAAGTACACGAGGACGGACAGATCAGCTGCGCGCTCGTCATGAGCAAATGTTGTGTAGCTCCTCTGAAAAAGCTAACCATCGTGCGTCTGGAGACTCAGGCCGCCGTTCTGGCGGTGCGGCTGGCCACCTGTGTGAAAAAGGAGCTGACGCTGGAACTGCACGATACCATATACTGGAGCGACAGCCGAGTCGTGCTGAGTTACATCTCAAATGATAGTAAAAGGTTTCATACCTTCATTGCGAATCGAGTCGCTGAGATTCGCGATTCGACGCATCCCAATCAATGGAGGCACACACCGGGCGAATGCAACCCCGCCGACGACTGCTCCCGTGGACTGATGGCTTCTGAACTGACCAGAGACAGCCGCTGGGTAAGAGGGCCCGACTTCCTATGGCGACCGGAGGAATGCTGGCCGAGCAACCGTGAGCGGTCTGAAGTGGACAAAAACGACCCAGAAGCAAAGGCTGTGCTGACCACTCGTTGTGAAGGTCAGCCATCCGCGATCGTAGGACCGGACCCTGGTCGGTTTTCCAGCTGGGCGCGATTAAAGCGAACCATGGGATGGATTCGCCGATTTCTACACAACTTTGCAGCGACCTATGGCGTAGACGGCAATCCAGCTAGGAAGCTGACTGGTCCGCTGTCATCTGAGGAGCTGCAGAGCGCAGAGACCGCCATCGTGCGCCAGATGCAACGCACCTCCTTTGCTCAGGAGGTCTCAGCACTAGAGAAGGGCCGTGGCGTTCGTACAGACAGCCACCTGCAGCCGCTGACACCTCAGCTGGATGGAGACGGTGTGCTTCGAGTTGGTGGCCGTCTCACTAACGCACCCTTACCCGAAGAAACTCGCCACCCGGCGATCCTGCCCAGAGACAGCCGTGTGACCGCCCTGATCATCACGTCGTCACATGAAAGACTGATGCATTCTGGAGTAGACCACGTGCTCAATGATCTGCGGATGAAATACTGGGTCCCCAGAGGACGTGCGCTCGTGAAGAAGGTGCTGCGCGACTGTCCTCACTGTCGCCGTCGGCGTGCGACACCCTGTCAGCCACGCATGGCAGACCTGCCAAAGGCCCGCTTTGACAGCTGCTACCCGTTCAACTCAGTCGGCGTTGATTACTTTGGCCCACTTCAGATTAAAACGGGAAAACGCAGCACCGAGAAAAGATACTGCCTGCTGATCACATGCATGTCCACGCGGGCAGTGCACTTGGAGATTTCTCGGACGCTGTCTACGGATAGTTTTCTGATGGCGTTCACCAGGTTTGTGGCGAGAAGAGGACGACCGACACAGGTGTTCTCTGACAATGGAACGAACTTACGAGCTGGAGAGAAGGAACTACGTAAGCTTATTCGAGGCTGGAACCAAACAGTCATATCTGACCGGCTTTCCCAGGATCAGATTCAGTGGCACTTCAACCCCCCCGCCAGTAGTGACATGGGCGGAGTCTGGGAGTCAATGATCGCCTCAGTGAAGAGGGCTCTGAGAGCGGTTCTAGGTCGACTCCTGGTAACTGAAGAAGTGCTGCAGACCGTCATCACGGAGGTGGAGTCTGTGGTCAACAGTCGTCCGTTAACGTACGTGTCAACGGAGGCTGACAGTCTGGAGGCGCTCACGCCATCGCATCTGCTTCTTGGACGTCCATCGATCCAGCTACCACCAGGACTGGTCACTGACGGCGGCATCAGTAGCCGAAGAATCTGGCGTCAGAGTCGGGCACTGGCCAATCAGTTCTGGAGCCGCTGGCTCAAAGAATACGTCCCCAGTCTAGTTTGTCGCAGAAAGTGGACGGCAGAGTCACGAAACCTGGTGGCTGGTGACCTGATTCTCTTGGCGGATGACGGTGTGCCGCGCGGTTACTGGCCACTCGGGCGAGTCGTTGAAGTCTTCCCGGGACCAGACGGCCGGGTGCGATCGGCTCGGGTCAGGGTGCGTGGCGGCATAGTGCACCGCCCAGCGCGCAAGATATGTGTGCTCGAGGAAGCGGACTCCTGAGTCTTCAACGGCCAGCGAGCAGGATATGAGAGGAAGTAGCTGCCTGAGAAGCGCACATTGGACGGCCATTCTGTCCCTCCGGAGGGGGGAAGATGTTGTTTCCAAAACAACAAATTGAATATTTACGGATGAGGCGTCCATGATGTATTTGCTTGGCACATCAGAAGTGTTGCCTGGCTGTCAGCGCGTTAAGAAATGCGCGAGAATCGATTTTTGTTTTTACTGAATGTGTGATTGATCTGAGGGAATTCTAAAACTAACTTTGTTTTAATTTTGGCCTATAATTTATTATCATGAAATACAACGACCCTTTAATGTGTAAAGCTTGATTTTCTCGTTAAGGCCGGCAAAACAGTAGAAGTGTTGATTGACATCAACAAGGCCTTTCTGAAACTGGTACCACTAGGCACCTTTTACGGGGGGAGTAGCGTATGGCTGCACATGTAACGGCCGTTGACCTTAGGGAGAGGTGGAGCAGATAAATCGTCTTGCAGCAGTACATGGCTGTTCAACCCAGAATCCATCAGAGCTAGAGGTAGCCTGTGCCTCTCCACAACGCATCATGGCAGGGCTGGGCTCGGTGTTGCCGTCCCAGTTCATGAAGCCGCTGGGGTAGTCCGTGCCATCCTCCCAGGCCCAGGCCCCCGTCTCGGCAGTCAGACCGATCCATACTTTGTCGTTGGGCGCCATGTCAGCCAGTGCGTACAGAGCTGCCGCGTTGTCGGCGGTCATGGTAGCTAGAGTCCCTCCCTGGGTCACGCAGGCAGCGCTGGCGGTGTCATAATCTTCTTGCCTCTCAGATAAGAAGAAACACTGACCGTTGATGGGAGTGGAGCCATCATCACACATGCCGTTGCTCATGTTACCCCCCATCAGCTTGGCGATGATGGTGTCGAGCTTGACGTCGAGTGCCTCGATCTTGTCGCATATTTCCTGTTGACCCGTCTCCAGCGTGTTCAGTTGATTATCGATGTCAGTCAGCTCCGACTCCAGCGTCGCCTGCAGGTTCGTGATCTGAGTGGACACGCCGGCAATGTTGTTGTTGATGGTCTCCTGGCCTTCCAGGATCATCGTCTTTACCGTATCGATCAGAGTCGAGATGTTATCGATGTCGGTTGACAGGGCGGCGATGGCATCCAGTATCATTTGCTTGGCGGTGGCGAGGTCCGTTGAGAGAGTCGCAATGTCGGTGGTGATTGTGGTTTGTCCCTCGAGCAGCATGGTCTTGGCTGTGTCGATAGCGGTCGCCACCTCAGCGATGTCGGTAATGATTGTACTCTGTCCATCTAAGATCATTGTCTTCGCCGTGTCTATGTCATCACCCAGTTCGCTGATGCTCGCGGCAAGTGCTTCCTGTCCAGCAAGGATCATACTCTTAGCGCTTTCAATAAGAGCTAGAAGCTCATCCAAGTCCAGCTGTTCGAGATTCATTGTGATGTTAGTCAGCTGATTTATAATCGTCATTTGACCCGTCTCCAGCCCGGAGAGGTCGCAGGTGCCACTCCCATTGCTGGTACCCACCCCAGCGATTGCCTCCAGGATCTCAGTCTGACCGGCGGTCAGCATGTCCTTGCTGTTGTTGATCGCCTCCAGGATCTCGGAGAGCACTTGGCTGTTGTCCGAACCAGATGTGACAGTCAAGCAGGTCTTGTGAAGGAAAGTCCTGCGTGGGAGAAAGATTCGAGCGACTCGCGAGTCTGCAGTTGTGACAGCGGCAGAACTGGGTGGTAGAAGGACCAGCGGTACATCGCCAGCCTTCTCAGTGGCCGACGCTTGGATGTACTCTGGACCAGTCGCGCCCGCCTGCGAACACGTGCAATCGTGGTCAATGACGAGCATGTCTCCTTGCTAACCGAGTACTCTGCGGGGGTTCGGTTGAGATGATGTCGTTGATTAGCCATCAATGCTAATATCGCTGTTTTTGACACGTTCAGTGCATACAATTGTCATGACGGTTTAACGGGGATAAGCAGGGCGCAGAGTGAGATTTCTCATGTTAAAGCATGGCAAACATATCCCATCTATAGTTAAGCACGGTACGGCAAGATGTATTGAGGGACTATAAACAGGCGCATATTATCCCTCGAGGAACCTATCGGTTTTCTGCATATGCCTCGGCTGAGAGGCCCGAGTGTGCGGATACGACCCCGTCGCCGTTTTGCTCCCTAATGAGCTAGAGCTTCGCAGCAAAAAGAAGCGTTTGCGCCCGGTTATGAGACGAGCAGCAGGTAGGTACCCAAGTTTATTAACCCGCGCCCGGCTGGGGGTCCTGGATTTCCACGCCCTGCTGGGGGGGGGGGTGTTTGAACACCCCCCCTTCTAACTCGGCTCCTGGGCCACGTAGCGATACGCGGAAGGCGGCTTTCGAAAGAGCGTCAAAAATAATGAGGAAATTACTTCGGTCAATTTTTTGGTCAGGTCAAAGGTCAGGTCACCAGAGGTCATTGAAGGCAAAATTTCGCCGATTTCCGGGTCGAATGTCGAAAATTTCCGAGAAGCCAACGCATAACTCGGGAACCAATAGAGCTACAGCGCCACGGAAAAGCGCATTCGATAGCCCTATTAACGCCCTTTCTGAGTAATTCTCTCAGATTTGACCTAACGTCAACGGTTTTGCCTGCAGGGGGCAAAAACTGCAAAAATAGCCGATTTTTTCGGAAACAGTTTTTCTGCAATAACTTTTGACCCAAGCCTTGTACGAGCTTACTTTTACCGGCATCGTGTTCCTCTCGTCAAGACGCATCGAATGAACTATAACTTGACCTTGAAAGGTTAACTTGAAAATTTGACCTCAGGTCAAGGTCATGACCTGACCGGAAAGGGTCATGTTGCATATCAGTCGATCCGTATCGTCGAGCTGAACACATCTAAGGCGTTTTCATCGCTCTAGCATGCCTCTATCAAAAGTTATTTGCGAAAAACTGTTAGATACCATTCGTGACCTAAGATGACCTCAGGGCATAAACAGGGGTCACGGACACCATTTTCTTGTTCAGTGTGTCTAAACCACTTGTAATTCGGTGTTTGGGAGTGTTTATAATGTCTTTCGTCCAAAAGAGGCGCATTTCAATTTTCTCCCATTGACTTACAATGGGGAGGTCGCAAAATTGACCTGACCTTAGGTCATCGATATCAAAATTCTGAGATATACATTTTGTACATGCTATTGCTCTTGGCAATCGCTGAAAGTTTCAAAGCGATCGGTCACTCGGTGTAGCTATGACAGACATTGAAACTTTTTATGAGGTGAGGTCACTTCAAGTGACCTGGTGACCTGACCTTGAATGACCTTGGTCTGAAATTTTTACAACATGTGTAGAATTGATGTATGATAAGGTGTACCAAAAACGGCGGCGCTCCGCGCCGCCGTTTTTGAGATATTCGCGAAAAACCACAAGGGGGGGTGTTCAAACACCCCCCCCCAGCAGGGCGCGGGTTAACTCTCACCCTATTGCATCTGTGGTCAGACCAAAGGGCCAAGGTGACGTGCGTTTTTTGCCAAACAAATTTGCTGAAATTGATAACGAAACTTCAAGTTTGACACCGTCGTATTCATCAATTGCCTAATAACGAATGCGGGTCAAGTTATAAGCCCATTAACCGTCGCCGGCCGGGAGGGGGGGGGGGGGGGCGTTGCAGCCCCTCACATTTGACGATAGCTGGGAACACGCCGGGGTTACAGAGGTTAAACTCGGAAAATTTCATCTTTGATTCAAACCGGATCTTGTGACATCAACAGTATTTTCACGTCAGGTCAGGTCCTGGCCTATGGAGTTATAAGTGAACCTCTGCACGGTCCTAAAACGTCGCAACTTCGCAACGCTCTCAGTTCCAGAAGAGCTTTCACAGGGAGATGAAACTTGCAGGACCCAGTCATACTCCATAGCTCCCACAGCTTATATGTCTCGAATTTTCCCTAAAGGTCACATGAGGTCAGGTCGCTCAAGTGACCTCACCATTAGGCAGGTAGGTCAACGAGAAAACACGGAAATTGTTATTTCTGTGCCGGAAATGATCTCAACCTAGCTTAAGCACATGTAATCTTGATTTCATGCACTACTTGCATTGCCCATTGCTTCACTTTTGAATCTTTGGCCTTGTGTGACGCCATTTATGACGTCATCAGGGTCATAGGAGTTTTTCGTCAATAACTCCCGACGAAATCGAGCTAGCGAGTTGTGAAAGCTACCAATGGACTCGAGAACACCTGCCGAATCGAATGATATGCGATATGACCTCCTTCGACCAACTTCGTGACCTAAGTGGCTCTGACCTGACCTTGACCCGAGGTCAACACACTCAACACCTTCAGTTGACCTCAGCCGAACAAGAAGTAAGCCATGCGACGTGCCTGAGCAACAGCAACACAATGGTTTCATTTCTCGGCTCTGCGACCATTTTTTGGTCGCAAAACAGCGCTTTTGATAGCTATTACAAAGCTCTTTCGATATGCTCTCAGATTAGACCACAGGTCAACGGTTTGGTCTACAGAGGGCGACAAGCTGCCGTTTTCTTTACACACGCATGACAAATTGGAGCATGGCAAAAAGCGCCCCATCCCATCTTTACCAAGACAAAGTCTAACAAATACTAAAAGCCTTACTTGCTGGCCCCTTACCGTAGCAGCCCCCCACCCCCTTCAATCCCGTCTCCGACATCGCCCGAACCTGTGGCAGAGTGGAGGCAGCGGCGACAGCCAGCCAGATTGACAGACCCACCGCCGGAGCGGTCAGAAGCACCGCCGACCGCATGCTGGCAGCAAGTGAGACTGCACGGGGGCCGCCACCGCGCCGCCTACAGACCTCTCTCGGGTAACCCCCGGGCGAAAGAAGGGGCGCAGCGGTGACCTGACCTGTTTATCTGTCGCTCTGAATGTCGAGAGGCCGCTAACGGTATTCATCGCCCACATACTCTTGACTGTTCAGCGTTGCAGCGGGGCCTTTTTGTCGCTGCTTTGCTTGGGTATCATGACGGATCGGCTCTTGCAGCCCATGTATAATAAAATCTTTGGGCGATCGTCCTGTAAGAGGTGAGCAAAACGGCGCCAGGATAACCTGAACGCACGCTGACCAGGAACGTTCGATCTGTCTGGTCCAAGATCAGTCGTCCACAGAAGCTACATAGACATGTTGATGTCTGATGTCCCGGACCGTATGCTTGCCTGCATCAGGGAGAAAGTGGGATGCAATGTAAGAAAAGCGCGCCTCTCATGCATTTGTTATTTTCATGAAAATTAAATGAAATGGACGCTGGAAAGGTGTGACATTATTTTTGGGACACCCTGTACATTCATTTAGGCCAGGTCGGGTCAGGTCAGCCACCAAAACTACATCGTAAACGTTCATCTGGTTGCTAAATGCTAAATTGGAATTCAGCTAGAAAAACTGGCCTACATGTAGAACTGGCCTACATTTTACATGTAGAAACATGTAAAACTCAAAAAGTGAACCGAGGTCACCAAACTCCAAAGGTCAATGACCTGACCTGACCTTCAGGTGACCTTGACACCCACCCTAATGAATGGGGGCAACATCATATCACGTGTTTGCCAACGCTTGAAACCACGAAAAGACTGCAAACGCGCTGCTAATGCGAGCCGACATACGCCGAATCGCGATTCCGGCTAAACATGGTCTCAAAAAGTGGTTTACATGTCAAAGGTCATTGGGGTCAGGGTCATGAAATTTTCAGGTTAGGTGTAAAATTGATTAACGCGAGGGTACTGAAAGTATGGTCGCGATCGGCCGCTTTTTACGCGCGTTATTTGCGAAAAACCGAGTGGGGTCCGTTCGACCCCCCCCCCCTATACGTGCGAGGGTTAACGCCCCTCCCCCCAGGTTACCTTCAAATTTCCCGCGTCCGGCTCCCGTTGTCCCCTCGTGCCTTCCTCCCCCCCCCCACTCCACCGCCTATAAATGCCGCGGCCTTTTGTATTGAAGTTTTTTTTCTCTATCATATACTAGGATAGTAGAAGCAGCTTCACATATGGTAGCACTAACCCTTTTCATTCCTGACGCAGAAGTTTCTTACTTTACATATTCATTGCTTAGCTTTGGTCACTATTTTGGAAGCAAGTGTGGAAGAATCGTCGAATTATGTGGCTAGTAATCACTTTGCGCAGTTTTCGGTACTCCTTTTGAACAGGAAAATCACAATGGGAATCCATGCATTGGGTGAGGTTTTCATTCGTGGAGGAAATTTCGGACGACGGTGAAAACCAGCCTGGGGCGATTTGATCAAGGTTCGTGAAATTTACACGTGACGTTTGGCATATTGGAGGCCCACAAAGGGGGAGAAGCGCCAAATGTCACGTGACTAATATGCCCTCCGGCGCCCTGTTTTCACCGGCGTCCCAAATTTCAAAGCAAGTCACTAATTACTACGGCATTAATCACTACTTAAATACCTGTTAGTCTACTAGTCAAAGTAGTCACAGTAGTGACTACTAGTCAAAGTAGTGACACGACGTGACCACCTGTTTGATAAGATTTCGCTGACCGCTGGGGATTTGAAGTTCTACTCCAACTCTGACTGTAGCATGGGCCTGGGCCCTGGGGTTTCGCTAACCTGTGGTAATTGTGAAAGGGTACGGTAAAACTTCAGTTTTTTACATTAAAGAAACACAATTTTGATGATCGTTTCTCCTTCTCGATGGCCAATTACATCAAAAACAGTTTCAAAACACTTAAGTTCGCACCACTTACCGAAATATAATAAAGAAATCACCCCACCTTTGATGCGCTACGCACACACTGCAGAGACGCAAAATGGCGACATTGTTTTGCCTCTGATGCGCCAGATATGTAATTTAAAAGAATTGGATGCGACTACTAAATACAATATCCTGAAACAAGAACTATTTTCATCCTAGGGGACACTGGGAAATCGGGGTTTTTGGGTGGGGGAGGGGGGGTTAGATTCAAACCAAATCTAACCTAACCTAACCTAACCTAACCTAACCTAACCTAACCTAACCTAACCTTACCTAACCTAGCCTAACCTAACCTAACCTAACCTAACCTAACCTAACCTAACCTAACCTAACCTAACCTAACCTACCACGTTTCCAGGGGTTTGTGCGCTAGGGACGAAAAGGAGTATATCTTAGGTAAGGGTAAATGGAAAAATGTTAGGTTAAAGAGTTCTGGAATAGGCTCCAGGCCGGCCTTCGGCCGGCCTGGAGACAATTCCAGAACTCTTTAACCTAACATTTTTCCATTTACCCTTACCTAAGATATCCCCTATTTGTGGCCAAGGCCACATCATTGGTTCGCGTCGCTAGCAAACACGTTTCTCAATCACCTTCACCCGAAAACCCCGATTTCCCAGTGTCCCCTAGGAGGAAAATAGTCTATTATCGGCATATTGTATTTAGTAGTCGTATCCAATTACTTAAGGTTACATATCTGGCGCATCAGAGGCAAAACAGCGTCGCCATTTTGCGTCGTGGCAGTTGACGTAGCGTGCTGACGATAGGGTGGTTTCTTTATTATATTTCGGTAAATGTTGCGAATCAAAGTGTTTTGAAGCTGTTTTTTATGTAATTGACCAAGGAGAAACAGTGAAGCATCATCAAAATTGTGCTACCTCAATGTAAAAAACTGAAGTATCGCCAAGGGTACCGATAGCAATATACATATAACAATATTTAACATGCATGGAATACAAAATTCCACATAATTGTACCAGATTTGGATGTTTCAGTTTATTTAACATTTTCCATTCATTTTACAGGAGTGAGGAGTCCAAGATAACACATTGAGGTGGGGCCTGCTCTGTCTGGATAACACCCATCATGCCTGTTGGATGGGACATTCTCCTCAGGCACCTGAGTCACCACAGCTACCTGAGCTGTGCCCCTGGGCCGGGCGCCCTTCCGACCCTGGGACCACTGGGGCGGCTACTCCTGCGGAACCTGACAGCACTATGGAGGAGGGATGTGGAGCTCGGACTGAATGTACCCGTGGTGCCCGCGGCTCTACCGGACAGATTGATCGGTGATCCTGCACAGTCACTGACAGGTGGGTGGGTTTAGGGAGTGGCGGAGGATTGAAATTAGGCCAGGCACTGGCAGTAGTGCCATGTCCTGTCAAGAAAGTGGAATCTGTAATGTACAGCAACAACCATGCACATTTTCACCTGTTTTGGTGATAATGTAACTTTGTAGCTGTTGTCTGTTGATGCTGTCTTGAGTGTCTGTTGATGTTGATTTTTTGCACTCTGAGCCATACCTTACCTTACCTTACCTTAGAAGTACACGGAATTTTGAGGCCAAGTAGCAGGCCTATTGGACCGGATCATTACTTTAAACTCGCTCTGTTTCTATTGATCGAAGACTGATGAATATTGGATGTTTTTCCAGTGGGAGTCGAGTCGGGACTTGAAGGCATTGACAGTAGGTGCGGATACAACAGAGGGAGGCAGGCCGTTCCAGCTGTTGATTGCTCTGACTCCCAGAAAGTTCCTCCTCGCTCTTGATCTTGATCTTGGCTTGTGGAGCTTCAAATGATGGCCTCGAGTAATCCTGGAGCTTGCCAATGGAAGGAGACCTGGGCGCACATCGAGGGAGCCCCGGAGTATCTGGAAGACCGTTATCATGTCTCCTCGTAGGCGTCGATACGTAAGTGAGGGCAGGTCCAACTCCCTGAGTCTCTGCGAGTATGGCTTGGGCCGTAGTTCACGGACCAGCTTGGTAGCACGTCTCTGGACTCTCTCTATCTTCTTTTGGTCTCCCTTCGATGGCGGTCCCCATATACTGTTACCATATTCCAGGTGAGGTCTTATCAAGGTCCTGAACAACACAGTAAGCATGTCTTTGCTAAGATTTCCAAACGATCTGCGGATGATTCCGAGGAGCTTGTTTGCTTTGGCCACAACCCTTGCTGTCTGAACATGAAACTTCATTGCACTGTCTATTGTCACGCCTAAGTCCTTTTCTTCGTCAACAGCAGTGAGGTTTGATTCAAACATTTTGTAGCTGACACAGGGGTTCCTGGGACCCATGTGGAGCACCTTGCATTTGTCCAAGTTGAGTGGGAGTCTCCAGCGTTGTGACCACTCAGCTACTTTGTCGATGTCTTCTTGAAGTCGAAGTCTATCACTGGGGGACTGAACAGGACCGAACAGCTTGGAGTCGTCCGCGAAAATCTTGATATGACTTTCAAGATGGTCAGGCATGTCATTGATGTATATGAGAAATAACAAAGGACCCAGTACGGAACCCTGAGGAACACCACTTTTCACCTTAGAGCTGCTTGACAAGGCGCCTTCGACCAGGACCTGCTGGGTGCGATCAGACAGGAATGCTTCGACCCATTTCAACACCCTTCCATCAACACCATAGTACTTCAGCTTAGAAAGAAGAAGACCATGTGGGACCGAATCAAATGCCTTGCTAAAGTCGAGGTAAATGGTGTCGACAGGCTGCCCAGAGTCTATTGCTCGCGTCCAGTCATCCATAGCTTCAAGGAGCTGGGTTGTACAGGACCTTGCAGGACGAAAACCATGCTGGTGAGGACTAAGCAGATTGAAGCTCGCTAGGTGAAACATGATCTTGTCCCTGACAACTGATTCCATGATCTTGCAAACGACTGAAGTTAAGCTGACTGGTCGGTAGTTCTTTGCATTTTCCCGGTCGCCTTTCTTGAAAATGGGAACTACTGTAGCGTGACGCCATGTTTTCGGAACGATCGACGTTTCCATGGACTTGTTGAACACCACAGCAAGAGGATGGGCAACCAATGGCGCCAACTCTTTCAAAACTCTGGGATGAACCCCATCTGGACCTGGTGCTGCTGACACATTGAGACTCTCGAGCTTGGACGTGACCTCAGCGGGGCTCACCGACATGTCACTGAGGATCTCATCAATTTGAGGGAGTCTCTCGATGCTCTGGGCTGGCGAGGCAATTGGTTCACTTGTGTAGATACTGCTGAAATGCTTGTTCAATATCTCAGCTTTCTCATGTGGTTCATATCTTGGTATACCTTGTTCGTCTATGATAAGGTCGATTCCAGACTTGGTTTTGAGGCGAGAGTTGGCGTACTTCCAAAAAGCTTTTGGGTTGTCCTTCAATTGAGATACTATGGATACTTCAAGTTGGGTTCTCAGCTTCCTCGTCATTTTTCTAAGGGCGTTCCGTGCAGCAGCATATCTAGCAAAGTCCTCTGGGCGTCTAGACTCCATGTATATGGCCCACAGATTTCGTTTCTTTTTACGCAGTCTCAAGGCTTCTTTGTTCATATACAAGTACCGTAGGTATTGTGTTATTAGTTGTCATAATTATCACACTATTTTCTATTTATGTAATTTATAGCATTTCTTTTCCACTGTAATTTATCCTCCTTATTGTCATGTTTTATTGTCATGTTGTTGTCCTGAGTCATGTATTAGAGATACTAATCTCTAGCATTGTCCAGCAAGTGAGTTTTGTCCAGCAGTGATTTCAGTCATGAGTTATCACCTCAACCTCTATGCCACAAATGACTCCACCTCATAGAATGTCATTGCTACTATCATTTGCACCGTTATCTGTGTTAGAGTTAGAGTTCTCAGCTGCATACTCTGCTGATCATCTCAATGGCTTCCCTCCACTCCACAGACTCACTCGCTGCCCTCCATGCAGCTCAGGCCTCTCTCCACCTCACACCGCCCTTTGGGGTCACCTTAGAGCGACCTGCCGCCGGACCGCTGACCCCGCCCGAGCAGCTGGAGGCCACGCCCCCTCCGGCCGACGCCCCGCCCACCGCCGGTGGTCATTTGTCTCTCGTGCTGGCCGTGCCCCCGGCCGACGCCCCGGATTGGCATCAAACACTACAGCGGCGCCGGCGTATATGGTGGCGGGATCTGGCGGACGATCCGGGTAACTACAGCCTCGCTCAGAGCTCACCAGATGACGCGCAGGTGCTGTTCGACAGGCGCCTGCCTGTGGAGCGGTTGAGGAGTCACGGACTGCATGCAATTGAGGGCGCTGGAGAGACACAGGAGGTGAGGAAGCAACCGTGAGAGATGTAGGTGCACTGAGGTAGCACGTGGTGGGAGGGCTAGGTGTTGAAAACAGACGTAGCATCTTGGTATTCCCTAAATAGGACACGTGAAAATACTCCAGTTTCAGCAAAGCCAGGCGGAAGAAGCTTGTATTATGTATTTTGAATATGAGTTTGTGTAGTTTATCTACAATATCTTCATGTTATATATGTTTATCTTTGAGCTACATTCAGTCACTCCAAAAGTTAATCATGGACCATATTGCATCCAGCATCCAGCTGCGTGATGTTCCCATAAACCGTTCCGGGTGTCTGTCTATGCCTAGTTCACGGTCTGAACCGACCTCCCCCCCCCCCCCCCCGGCAGGCACACGTGTTCACCTGTGAGCTGTGCCTCCAGTCGGCCCTGTACTCCGTCTGCGGAGACGCACTGGACGCTGGCGCGCTCCGCCTCCAGGAGCGTTTGGCGCCATACCGGCGCGCGGTTCCTTCGCGCCACGACTGGCCCGAGGAGCTGCGCGCGCTGGCGCTGCATATCAGCAACCAGGTATGGGACAGGGAATGTTGATGTTAGGCTGGAAAGGGGCGTGCCAGGGGTCCATGTGGATGGGGAGGGGTCGGGGAAGGGTAACGAGTAGAGCTCCGCTAGCTAAACTGTTCATCTAAGCATCCAATTCCAGGATTTTTCCCAGCTGTCAAACAGTGCTATGAAGTGTGAATTTTGACAGATCACTGCTACTTGCCTCCCTATGGCGTCGCTATTGTTACCATAGCGTTACCCTGTCGGCTCGGTTTTCCTCAGCTGCGGTCGTCGGGTGTTTCCGTGTTTCCGCTACCGGAGGAGATGCCGGCGGAAGGAGAGGAGGACCAGTCAAACTCTGAGGAGGCCCAGAGGGACGGAGAGAGGACTAACGCGTCCAGCACAGGTCAGTTGCTGGAGGATTGGATGGGTTTAGCTCAGGTCAGTGTGCGAGGGGTCGGATCTGTCCAGCACAGGTCAGTGGCTGGAGGATTGGACGGGCTTAGCACAGGAACGGACGAAAAATGTTATATTTCTCATCTATGGCTCAGGCCAATGTGTCAGCGGACTGATCAGCTGTCCAGCGCAGGTCATTGGATCTGGAACAGACGCGTACACACTGGGTCAAGGGCAGATGGCTTCAGCATTAGGTTAGGGACAAAACTGTCCAACACCGTTCAGCTCAGCTGTATTCAGCTGTCCAGCCTGGGGCGGTGTTGGACTGTTGGGTGTTGTTTGACGAAAATATGAGCCGTGTAGAATTACTCTTGATCTAATAGTTGTTGTTCCATCCTTAAACTAATGCTTCGTTGTGACTGCCACTTTCAATATTTGTATAATTGTATATGACATACTGATATTCCATGCTGGACGTTCGTAAGAGCTGCTCAGATTTGTTGATGTGCTGTAAAATTGTGGTGCATTCAATGACGATCAATTATGATATCTCTGTCTTCTGATAACGTGTCTGCGTATCTCCGCAGTGGAGCCCTGACTTATGGCTCCGGTGTTTCTCTGACCGTGTCTGTGTATCTCCGCAGTGGAGGAGCCGTGGCTGGCGGCGCCTCTCCGCTCTTCTGACGGCGCCGGTGTTCCTCTGACCGTTCTCCTCTCCGAGAGAACCCTCCAAGACGGCGTGTGCCGGCTCCGCTCCCGGGACACGTCACTCAGTCATCAGGTACACGTCAGTCAGATCACTGACGGTGGCTGATGTGACGTCAGTGTGCAGCTGTGTTGACGTCATGTGATGTTGATAGTGCAGTGTAGCTCTCTGACGTTTGCGGGATTAAAGGTGACTCATCGAATCATTGTAGGTATATTTTGCATTCACATCACATGTTTGTTAAAGAAGTGATCAACATCGTGACACCAAGCGTTGCGTTACTGTGTCTGCTAGGGTCTGCCAGTGCCAAGTACGATCATCTGTGATGCCAGTGATTGGAACTTGTTTCGTCGTATACTTTGGCTGTTGGAAGTTTTCGATGTGCCTTTTTGCGTGGCTCATACGATTTATCGAGTCCTGTTCCACGGGTCAGTTCGAGGCCAGTGGAATTTTCCGCCTCCCCAGTTGTATTTCAACGCTGAGGAGCTTGTAGACGAATTTGTAATGGTTTTGAACGGCTTTGTTGGAATCATTGCAAGTGATAAAGAGCCAGGCTAATATTTATCCAATACCCAATGTGAAATTAGGTATTTATTGGGAAAACATGTTTTTTTCAGTTTTTGCAATAAAAACGTAGCTGATTCCGGCTTCTTTGAATGCACAATGTCGTATATATTTGCGCCAAACGGATACAAAACACAAAACAGCTTTTTCTTCTACAACGGGTGCATACAGGCGTTGTCACTTGGGGCTAGTTAACTGGCACATAAGATAACTCGGAAAAGAGTAATCATAGCCCGTCCACAGGCTGTCTGTCACCACCAAAGTTGAACAGGCCGCAGTTTCCGCCGTAATAGTTCGGGTCGTCTTTAAATCCGAGACTGAAGATGTACGGAGAATAGATACCTCAGTCCAGAGGCCAGTTTTACCAACAGAAAAATAGCCGCCTGCTGGAATTTTCTGCCTAAAAACCGGTTCACATACGGAGCGTAAACGCGATGGGCACGTAAGTAGAAAGGGCTCTACCGTTTACGTTCCGTATGTGAAGCGGTCTTCAGGCAAAAAAAAAAAAAAATCCGGCAGGCGGCTATTTTTCTGTTGGTAAAACTGGCCTCAGATCCATGGAGCAGTGCTGCTGTTTCCGAGATAACCTGGTGTGGCCAAATTCGCCTCCCCACATCATGGCCCGAATTTGGCTGTGACCTCCATCCGGGCGAGGGATATTTAGGTATTAGGCAATGAGCTGCGTTCTGCATCGGTAGGTGCGCATTTTCTTATGTAGTAAAAGAGCGTCATGTGCATATGGCTAACGTACTACCAATTAACTACCAACGCACTGACGTAGTACCAGTAGTAACAACACGCCAACCATGACTTTCAAATAGATATCACTACTTTTCCGTTTGCACGTCGAGCATGACTTGTCAGTTTTGTTGATAAGGGGGCGCGTCACCTGTTTTATTCACACGGCTCATGGACTACTTTGGACGCATTTTCGTTCGCCCGTCCTCCGCTGTGATTATGATTTCCGACGGAGTGATGGCCGAAAATATAAATGTGGCGCACCAGAGACGAGATGCAGACTTCTGCGTCGGGATTAGAATCATCGCCCCGACGTTTTAGAACGCTGGTTCTCTCATAGCGGATCTCTCAAAGGCAGGTGAGAATCTCGGGCTTACTGGTCGGGGATATTTGAAATGACCGTAAAAGGGAGCCTTCATCGCTGTGCTGAATGTCTATGGTCCATAGGTACAGCTTTGTTTATGCTTACATTTGGGTTACAATTGATCGCTATAATTATCAACCAGGCATATATGTAGTATTTCTTACTGACCAATCGAGACAATGGAGTTAAAAACGGCACCAAACGGATACATGTCATTTCAATTTGCAACGTATCCCACAGGTAGGTACTCAGCAACGTCACAGCAGTCAGGAGTGACGTCACCGCCATCACGATGACGTGGACTCTGCGTCTGACGCTGATGGCCGCCGCCGTCTCCGCCATCACTGCAACCTGCCCCTCCTCGGAATGGAAGCAGTTCCGCGACACGTGCTACTGGGGGTCCACCTTCATCAGTCGCTTTGTTGACGTTGCACGTGCCTGCACCTTGCAGCACCCCGATGCAACAATGGTCTCCATCCATGACGCCGAACAGAACACGTTCCTTGGCGAGGAGGTGCTGGGAATTGACAACTCGGGTCGCCATATTGGCTGGATAGGTTTGACCAGATCTGACACCACCGCTCCCTGGGCCTGGTTGGACGGAAGTCCGTACGATTTCAGCCTCTGGTATCGGGATGACCCGGGTTATTATGATGGGACGTGCGCCGTGCTCAACTACAGTGACTGGGGGGTGTGGGCAGGGTATAACTGCAGCTCGAATTTTGTGCTTGAGTACTTCATATGCCAGGTACAGTCACCAGCAGTTGCTACCCATCACCCCCGGACGGCGGGGGAGCAAGCTACCACCGCCCCTGCGAGACTAGCGCCGCCATGCGCCAAGAAGTGGAAACACCACGTGACTGAGGCCACGTGAGGGCAGGGTCACGTGATAGAGGGGCGGAGCATAGTAGCTTTTGCGCCCGACACTAACTGAAATGCGGCGCTGTGATTGGGCGCCTTAACATGAATGAAGCCCCGGCGCCAGAATCAGCCGTTCGCCTTATATGGAAAGTGAGCCTTTGCGTTTCACTGTTCTGTATTGGTTTGAGAGCCACGGCATCATACGAATTGTGAGCCCCTTTGAACGGGTCACCGCCCGAGGCACTGAGGCGACGGCTGTGCCGGACAAATTCTAGCCTGGTGGGAGAGGTGGGCCAGGGAAAGTGCGATCGAGCAGCCACTGAGACGTGGATTGGTATTATCCAACCACGACAAACGATGTCAGCAGCCTCTTCTCGTGTCATAGACAGTGTCTATGACACGAAAAGCTAGACAGACAACGTGGGCAGTGCCCATCAAAAGCTACTAAACGATCCGGTTTAGAGATTGGCGAGGTAGCCAGACCAAATAAAAAGATTTTTATTCGATTTTGGTTGACAAATGACATACAAGCCCGCTGTGATGGACCAAAAAAGGAGCTGAACAGTTCATACAACTTCTAAAAAGCTCAACGGTTTAAAAATTCAAAAGTTAAATGTTAAAATTCAGCCTGCATGATTAAACTCTGGTCCGGCGCTGGCAGGAAGCTTATATTGCCGCTTGCAATTCCACTACGTTGTAATATAACCAATAGTTCTGTGAGAGCAGCAACTGAAAGCCCCGTTGAGGGGGGAGGGCGGCGCGAAATGGCCCCCTCTCTCCTTTTCAGTCGATATCTCCTAAAGTATAGCAAATGTCGCCACCAAACTTTCAAGACCCCTCCGGGCATCATTTTTACACCTTGTGACCAAATTTTTTCAGAGCTCTTATGAAAGGTTAGTCACAAATGACGTCAGAGGGATGTCATGTTCTGTCATTTTTGACCCAATAAAAGGTTAAAGGAAATAGTTCACATTTTAACATGGGTTTTGAACTGGAATAGCAGTTCCGTAGCTTGGGCTGAGACGAGCATAAATCAGGAGCTTTTACAGCCCAACGATCACCCTAGGCAAAGATATTCTATTTCTCGTCCCGAAAAATGTGTCTTGCGTTGAGGATGTGTGCCTTGCATATATTCGCATCCAGTATGAAACGAGCATGGGTCCCGAAAATTCTTCAGAAACTAGAGAAATTATCTACGAGAACTCTAGAGAAATTCGCTCCAGTGAGGCGCTCCAGTAACAAAAGCACGAGCAGATCGCCCAAATGCCGGTGGCCGCGATAATTTCTCTAGTTCTGAAGAATTTTCGGGACCCATGCTCTTTTCATACTGGATCGCGGTGCCTTACAGAAACTGAAAAGTTCTTCCTATATCAAAAATATAGAAAATAATCTTTTGCTGTAAAAAGGTTTTATTTTCTTTGCTGATCATTTTGAACATAAAAAATCACAAATCCATTGCAAAAAAAAATAATTTCGTGAAAGTGAACTATTTCCTTTAAGCGGGAAGAGCTGTCACGCTTACAGTTTTGAAGATAACGAAAAATATTCAAAATCAAAAAGATGTAAAATAAACAGCGCTACCAAACCGATAACTCTTATTTCCAAACAAAAATTGATTTTGACCATCAAAACTATAGAAGTAAACAGTCAACACCCCGAAAATACCAACAACTTTCAAAATTAAAACTGAAATATATGTTATAGAACTATCTGCTCTAGGTATGTCAAACTTAAACTCGTTAGCTCCATTTTTAGCAAAGTTATGGCAAAAAAACTACTCAAAATTTATTACGTAAAATTTTTCAAATTCAATTTTTAGCCGTCACAGGACACACAGAGCAAGCCACGGACCACCATTGGATTTCCTGTGATGAGTTGCATCGAATAGATACCCCTTTAATGCAAAATATCAACTTTCAAATTTGACCTTCTTTGACCTGACCTTGACCTGACCTCCACCAGAATGTAATCTAAACTGGCCCCAATGGCCGTCTAGCCCACACCATTGAATTTTAAATGTAAAATTGGCCATAAAACATGTATCACACGACCCTAGCATAGTTGGGTTCATATTGTGAACCTTAGTGACCTGACCTCTGTGAACTGACCTGGCATCAATGACCTCTTTAGGCAACATATGTATAATGCGTGGTTCACACCGGATCCGTAATGACCGTTACGTTCCGTAATGAATACGGTGGCGAGTAAAAAATATCTCGAAAGTGGAGGGCACAATGTAACGCGCATGCGTAGTTCGATTTTTTGACGCCGTAACGCCGTAATGGCTACGGATTCGGTGTGCACCGGGAATTGTCATCGCTGAGCGTCACCGTTCGAATCAAGTGCGCCAAAACTCTATTTTGTTTAGAGGCAAGCGGAAAATGGACTAAAGCTAAGAGCTGTTTTTAAAATATCAGAGCGCCAGAATGTAGACTTGTTTTACTCTCTTCCTTTTAATTTGTTAATTTCACTCTGACATAGCGGTCTGCAATTGTATCGAGTCATATCATTGTTAATTAAACGCCGGTGGGCAGAACACTGGACGGAGATTCTTGCATAATTATTTCTTGCATTACAAGAGAGCATGTCTATGCCCGTCAACGCTGAAGTTTATTTCTTACATTCTTTGCTATTCGTGGGTGATGTGATTTGAATACCAACGGACGCCAGAATCTGTATTGTATACCATTTGCTCGATTGGCTTGCCAAGAGTCAATGTGGATTCAAACGTCTGCAAATATCTACAAGTCCAAAGTATCAAATTTAGCAAGTAGCAGGGGCAATATGGCCGGTGAAGTTTACTCAGAACTCCATGAAACTCAGAACTCAGAACTCCACATACAAGACCAGGAGGAGAAGGAGCTAGCTCTCCTATAATTGGGAACAATGAGCCCGTTGGAGGGAGGTCTGAATAAAAAAAAAAAATGATACAAAGTAAGCCGTGAGCGTTACACGCTGAGGGCATGCTCACAAGAAATAATAATTATTGGCAGGTTGATTCGAGCTAAGGTAAAAGGCCAAAGGGTCCGACGTGCAGACCGCTGCCCTCGTCAACATTTGGAAGCTTCATAACTGCTCGGCGATACCTTGGCTTAACCTACCAAAGATGCAATCC